ACCAACAGTCTCTGGTGGAGGGGGTTGTGGCTCCCCCTGCTCCACACCCTTTTCTTCTGGATCTTCTTCTTGTGGCAATCCATCTTACAACTCTACATCATTAGCTGCATGCTGCGGTAGCTCTTCTTCATCAGTGGCATGCTGTGATGGTGTAGGATTGGGAACAATTTCTAAAACATCATTAACTTTGGGTTTGACTGGTTACTCAAAGTCTTCTAAGGTCTGGCCTTCTTGAAATACCACATCTCGGCTTCAAATGACCTTTTTTTTTTTCAGATCCCATAATCTATATCCAAATTCTTCATTTCCATAGCCAATAAAGATGCATGGAGTAGCTTTATCATCCAGCTTCTGTCTGTGCTCCTTGGATACATGTGCAAATGCTTTGCACCCAAACACTCTCAAGTGAGAGTAAGAAATCTCCCTTCCAGACCATACTTTCTCTGGAATGTCAAAATTTAGTGGAACTGATGGCGATCTGTTGATCAAATAGCATGCAACACGAACTGCTTCGCCCCAAAATGGCTTTGGTAGCTTTGCCATTTTGAGCATACATCTAACCTTCTCCACAATGGTCTGGTTCATTCTTTCGGCTACACCATTGTGTTGTGGGGTACCAAGAATAGTCTTCTCATGTCAGATGCTGCGAGTAGGACAGTAGGTTTCAAACTCCTTTGACGTGTACTCGCCTCCATTGTCTGTTTGGAGACACTTCAGCTTCTTTCCAGTCTCCCTTTCCACCATAGCATGAAATGTTTGAAAATGCTGGAACACCTCAGCTTTGGTTCTTAGGACATAAACCCATACCTTCCGTGATACGTCATCAATAAATGTCAGGAAGTATTTTCTGCCACCTAAAGATTCCACTTCTACGGGACCGCAAACATCAGAGTATACTCTGCTCAATAACTCTGATTGTCTTCTGGATGATGAGTGGAAAACGACTCTATGTTGCTTCCCAAACAAGCAGTTGTCACAAGGGTTCAATTTCGCATCTTGGGCAAAGGGAATAAGTGACTTCTTTGCCAGAATTTGCAACCCTTTCTCACTTATGTGACCCAGCCTTTTGTGCTACAAATTTGGTGATGCCTCATCTTCTGCTGCGTTGAGGCTATCTGAATGCACCTCCACATGAGTCTTGTACAACATGCCACTTGCCTGTCCTCTGGTTACCACCAGAGATCCCTTTTTCAACTTCCACATGCCTTTGCTGAAGTAGTTCTCATAGCCTTGTCAATCTAAGGCTATCCCTGAGATAAGATTCAGGCGTAAATCGGGAACATACCTGACATCTTTCAACACCATTGTGCACCCAACTTTGGTTTGGATGCGAACATCACCGATTCCCAGAATCTTTGAAAAACTGGAGTTGCCTATCTTCACTATACCAAAATCTCCAGCTTGGTACGTACTGAAGAACTCCTTTCGGGATGTGGCGTGGTAGGAAGCTGTTGTATCTATCACTCACTCGGTGTCATTATCTGACATATGGAGGCATTCTTCTTCTTCAACAGAGAATAATGCAATATCTTTTGAGACAATAACTGCAGTGTTCCCATATTTAGTCTTTGGCTGTCTATTGCCTTGTTTTTGTTCTCCCTTCAAGGCATAGCAATATTTCTTTATGTGACCTTCTTGGCCACAATGGTAACACTTAAACTTCGGCCGGCTTGTACCTTCTTTGTATTTCCTTCTTTCTTGAAATCTTCCTCTACTGTGTCCTTTGTTGTGTCCTCTGCTTTTGCTTCTTCCTCTGTCTCTGCCTCTACCTTTATTTTCTGTGACGAGGGCATGGGATTGATCTCCACCTAAGTCTTTTCGCCTTGTCTCTTCATTGTACATGGCGTCTGTGACCATGCTCATGGTCAGCTTCCCTTCTGGTACAATGTTGCTGAGAGAAACCACCAACGTCTCCCAGCTATCTGGTAAAGAACTGAGCAATAGAACGGCTTGCATTTCATCGTCTAAGCACATCTTGACGATTGCAAGCTGATTCACCAGACTTTTGAATTCACTAGTGTGCTCGGCGATAGACACACCATTCTTCAATTTCAAATTGACAAGCCTTTTCATCACCAAGGCTTTGTTCCGAGCGGTCTTTGACCGGTACATGTCGTCTAACATTGTCCATAGGGCATAGGCATATGTCTCCTCGGCGACATGATGGTACACACCGTGGTCTATCCATTGTCTGATATGACCGATAGTCTTGCAGTTCATCTTTATCCAGTCATCATCCTTTACTACTTCTGGTTTAACCCTTTTTATAAAAATAGGGTCAAACAAGTCTTTATAATACAGGGTGTTTTCCATCCGTGACTTCCAAATTGCATAATTGGAAAGAGTCAACTTGAACATAGATCCCGAAGTCGACGTTGATTCCTCCATCAACACTTGTCTATACAGAAAATAATCTCTGTCTAAAAAATAGGCTTCGTTGTTGAGTCCAGACTAGTCAAATTAGCTGGAAAAACACTTCGGATTGTCCAAAAAAAAATGCAAATTTTAAAATTTGATTTGGAAAATCGACTGCACAGATGTGTCCGGAATATTCCAAATAGTTTAACAGCACTATTGGATAGTTAGAAATGGACTCAGAATGACTCAGATCGAGCCAAAACAGTTTGGACGGTTCTGATCTACAGAACCTAATGCGACTGAGAAGCACCAAATGATTTCTCCGGTTCGGCGTGGTCAACGGCTCAGCAGCTTGGTCAACAGCTGGTCAACGAGGCGCGGCTCGGCTCAATGGCTCGGCTTGGCGGCTCAGTCAACGGTCAACTCAGGCTGACGTGCCTGACGCGTGGTGATGACGTGTGCTGAGGTGGCGTGACGTGGCTGCCACGCGGCTCATCTTCTTCTTTCAGATGTGCGTGAGGTGCGTGGAGAGAGTGGGAGGACACGCCATTTGTTCAATCGGCGCGTGGAGGCGCGTGGTGCAACTGGGATTCACGCGCCTTCTTTGGGTGGCGCGTGTGGGAGCGTGGCAAGGTTTCTGGAGCTGTTCTTTGTAGTTATGGACTCCTCTTGACGAGACCTTGCTCCTGGTATGCTCAAAAGCTGATTTCGAGCAACTTGATTTCTCTAGTTTCAAAAAAATGCACTCTATTTTTTCGAAACACAACTGATTTGGCTTTGATACCACTTGTTGGGACTGTGAGACACCAAAAATCAATCACACACAATAACACAAGAATATTTACGTGGTTCGGCAATTACCTACGTCTACAGAGAGCTATCCACTATAGAATTTTCCCGGAGGGAGTTTACACACTCACACCTCACTTACACACTATAACACTCTCGCTTCTCATAATCTTCTCTCAGATTACACACACACTGCAATCTCTTATCTTGTCTATATCCAACCCCTCCTCCTCACCTCAATTTATACACAATTGAGGGAGGAGCTTATTGGTTGCCACCAACCCCTTCCACTAGCTAGTGGGGTTGGTGGAGTGGAAGAGTGGGGTTCTCCATTTGGGAATGAGCAGTAGACTAAACACTAACACTTTTTTGGTGATGAATAAGATTGGTTTGGTTAAGGGTGAATTATTTTGTTTGGTGATGATTTCGTACGATGGTGGGACTGCAATTGGAGCATACCAACAAACGAATCAATGGTTTGTTTATGATACTAGAGGGGGCATGTTGTTTTTTGGCCCATAGAACTGCTCTAGAGATGCTTGAGATACTTTGTGTCCCTTCTGTATAAAAATCTATCAGATAGTCTCAAAATATTATGCAAAATCGTTAATCCTTCTTTTATTAATGAATAATACTAGGGATCATAAAAAAAAATATCATGAAATGATTGATGAAGATTTTTCATCATTTGATTAGTGTATAGTGTTTTATCAAATATGTAATCCAAGGGTGGAGAATCTCCATGAAACTTTTCATGATGATACTTTCATGATGCCTAACATTACTCAAATGTCATAAATTAAAGGTTCATTTTTGTTTTTCATGGGCATTTTAATGTGTAATGTGAATTTACTCAAGATTTCTTTAAAATTGTACGTAAAATTCCACAAAATATTTTGATGTGTTCATTAAGATTTAAGATTAGTAAAAAAAAAATGCACTAATCTCTCAATAAATTGGAAGTTGATCCACAAGAATCTAAGAGTAAATTGGGTCTTGATCCTCTTCAAGAAATATTAAACCTGAATCATATTCTTTAACTAGTTGTTAACATGTGACCAAACATGATCATACTAAGGGAAAAAATCATCAAATAGCCCATCTATCCTCTTTTTTCACTACAAAAAACCTGCATAGTTCACCAATTTAGTCATACAACCCAATGTTTAAAAGTGCCATGGCCAAAACCTTATCATTAATTGATTTCTTTCTACACTGTCAAGTCTGCTCTTAGTGATTGGTGTGGTTGAAAACCCCAATGGATTGATCCTTCCCGTTATCCATGCTGACTTCTCAGAGTCACCTCTGTTGAAGGGTAACCTACTCAATGAAGAGAGGATTCAAACGCGCATCGGCAATCCAATGCCTGAGCTCATTACTTGTATATCCTATCATCAACAAAATCACAAAACTACAATAACCCACAATTTGTACATTCTGAAATTGTGTGTCCATTGATTGAGGCTCAAACTTTCATGTACATAGTTAGGTTTGGGATTGGCATATTCAACAAGAAGTCATCGTACAAAGAGTACTACTTGGATATGGACACAGGTAGCAGTCTCACATGGACACAATGTGAGGGTTGTACCAAATATTTTTTGCAGACACTATCCTTTTCCCAAGAATACTTCTAAATCCTTTTGACCTATTCTTTCAAGTACATGAAGTTATACTAACTACATCGTGGCTTATACAAACAACACCTACTTGTTGAGTATTCTTGCCAAAGAAAATTTCTATTCAAATCCAACAATAGCAAGATAGACAAGGTTGAGAATGTAACTTTTGGTTGCGAATTGAAAAACATCATTGAATATGGTTATGTCAAGAATAACAAAATAGCAGGGATAATGGGTATGGGATGGGGTCGTCCTGACAACTTTGTGGACCAAATTGGTCCTCAAAGTAATGGAAAATTCTCATTCTTATACTGCCTTCCAGTAGTTAACCTCCAAATTGTGTATCGTAAGACTATGAGTTATCTAAGGTTTGGTGCAGATATACCAACGCAACCAAATTCAAGCATTACCAATTTGCAACGTGTTAAGGACATGGCGCTTTACTACTTGGAGTTGCAAGGGATTAGCCTCAATGGTCGAAGACTCAATATAAGTGCAACGGTATTTGCATTGAGAGGCAACATTGGTAGTGGGGTTTGCATCATATACTCTAGCTTGGGATATTCAAGAGTTGCCAAGCATGCTTATGATGTTTTATTAGGAGAGTTAGAAAAACACTACTTAAAATTTAAGAATTTGAAGAGGTACAATTCAAATCCATTGAATTTGACTATGTGCTATGAAAGAGACAAGGAAGAAGAGTTCAAAAACCTTCCTATTATCACTTTTCATTTCAAAGGAACTCAGGCTAATATGGTTGTTATACCCGAAGGCTCATTTGAAGTGGTAGATAGATATAACTCGAATAGGAAAAGAGTACTTTGGTTTGGAAATGTTATCAGAGCACACCAACAAACAAATCAAAGAAGCATTTATGATACTAAAAGAAAACAATTACTTTTCTACCTAGAGAATTGCTTAAAAAATGCTTAAGTGGGTAGTCTGTGCTCTTCTTTATCTAGTACTATAACATATTTTCCATAGTCTCTGCGCGCTATCTCTCTCTCTCTCTCTCTCTTACACACGCACACACACACACACACACACACACACACACACACACACACTTATTACAACATTACGCCCTCGTGAAGGAGGGTCTTAATGAATAAATGCTAACTAGCTAACTAGGCTAACTAAGCTAACTAATTATTACAAAACTCCAATCCAAAGAGTCCAAATCCAGCAAATCGTTTTGAAAAATTGACTTTGAATCAAAAAGTGCCAAAATTGGATTACTTTCCCAGATACAGAGTCGCCACCTAAATATTTTATTTTTGGGAAATTTAGGAAACCCTGACTCGTGCCTAAGGCCACGTGTCCGTCATCACCAAAGTTGCC